TGGGTGCTTCTGGCTCAGAGTTGCTCATGAGGCTGTAGTCAAACTGTTGGCCAGGACTGCAGTCAACTGAAGGCTCAAAGAGGCTGGAGAATCTTTTTCCAAGATGGTTTACTCACATGCTGCTGGCAGGAGGCCTCAATTCCATGCTGGCTATGCGCAGTAGCTCCTCACCACTTGGACACCTCCATGGCACTGCTTGAGTGTCTGCATGACATGTCAGCTGATTTCTCCCAGAGGGAGTAGTCCCAGGGAGAGTACAGAGGAAGCCACAGTGTTTTATATGACTTAGTTTTGTGTCACACCATCACTTCTGCCATACTCTATTCATTATAAGTAGCTCACTAAATCCAGCCAACATTCAAGGGGAGGGGAGTAGATGCCACTCTTGAAGGAAGGAGCATGTGGACAGAATCATTGCCCTCTAAAGGTATGCACATCCTAATCCCCAGAACCTGTGACTATGTTAGCTCACATGGAATAAAGGAGTGTGTTGATATAATTAAAGATCTTGAGATAAGGGGATTATCCTGGATTATGTGGGCAAGCTCAATGTAATCACAAGGGTCCTTATGAGGAGGCAGGAGGGTCAGAGTGAGAGTGACAGGCAGAGTAAGAATGTAATGGTGGAAGTAGGTCAGGGTGACATGGCCCTGAGTCAAGGAATGCATACAGTCCATAGAAGCTGGGAAAGGCAAGGAATGGATTCTCCTCTGCAGCCTCCAGAAGAAATGCAGCCTTTGAATTTAACCCTGTAAGACTCATTTTGGATCTCTGACCTCCAGAAATGTGAGATAATAAATTTGGGTTGTTTAAACCACTGAGTTGTGGTCATTTGTTACCACAGCAACAGGAAACTAATACAGACATCAAAGTGTTTGTGGACATATTTAATAACCATCACAGTCCACCCTCTGGCCACAAATTATTTATAGTTCTCCAAAATAAACTTAACCCTCTCAAGGCCCCAGAGTCTTGTCCTATTATAGCATCAACTCCAAGTTCAGAATCTTATCCTTTACCTAGGTCCAGGGGCATAGGAGCCTTGTTGGGTGTGATTCCTTATATACAGTTAATCAAATACTTACCTCTCCATCTGAAGTTCTGTGAACTGAAGGAAAAAGTTATATGCTCTTTTCCCACAACAACCAATGTAAGTGGTGGGACAGACAGGATAACTGGTGTAGTATAGACAATCCTGTTCTAGCAGGTGGAAATCCAGAGGCACCCAGAAGTCACTGGTTCATAGAAATTCTGAAATCTACTTGGTACAAGTTTGGAGTTCCATATTCAAAGCCTGAGAAGTATTTTCTACGGCTTTCGGTTCTACCCTCTGTACTCATTGTCTAAGTCATCCTTTTATCATGAAAGGTATCATGCATTTGCACCTACATAGTTTTCTCAGCCTGCTTCCTGCTTGTCGAAATGTGGGAGTCCAAAGGCCTCCTTTCCTTTTTTGTACTCTCAGCCCAAGCTTAAAGTGTTTCTGACGATACAATTCTCTTAAAAAAATTTGTGAATCTCCTGTGAATCTTACGAGGTTTTAGTCCATGAGATAAAAAACACCCGCAAATTTCTTTGAGATGTCTTTCTCTATGTTAGGCTTCTGCTGAAGGAAAAAGACCTGTCCTTCTTAGAAGCCCTGCTGTTTGAATAAGAGGACCTGTGAAACATACTCTTAAAAATTTTAGAGGGTCTTTTGTCTGACTGAACAGTATTCTGAGGTACCACCCTTAAACACCACTGTGATGAAAGCCAGTGGAACAATAAAATAGAAGAAGCCTATGTCCTTAAATTTTGGCACATAATATCAGCCCTAGAGAGTATCTCTCAAGCTCCTGAATGTGAGAGAGAAATAAAAGTCTACCTTTTCAGAGACAGGGTCTTGCTCTGTTGCCCATGCTAGAGTATAGTGATGTGATAGTATCTCACTGTAACCTCCAACTCCTGGGTTCAAGTGATTCTCCTGCCTCAGCCTCCCGAGTAGCTGGGATTACAGGCATGCACCACAATGCCCAGCTAATTATTAAAATTTATTATAGAGACAGTGCCTTGCCTTGCTGTATTGCCCAGGTTGGTCTCAAACTCCTGGCCTCAAGCAATCTTCCAGCCTTGGCCTCCCAATGTGCTAGGATTACAGGTGTAAGCCACTGTACCAGCCTCAAAACTACAATTGTTCAAGATTTGTTAAGCATCCACAATCTGTTGATTAGCATGCAGGCTGAACCCATCATAATCTTTACACATTAGAAATTGATGCATTATGAATAGGTAGAAAATGTTGTTGACTCCATCAACAGAGGTGGAGAGTGGGAAAGTAGGGGATGGAAGGTGGATTGGGGGTATTTACGAAAATAAAAAGCATGGTCTCAGCACTCAGATTACTTTAGAATCTTTAGGGAGATAAACGATATACATTTTAAAAGTACCAAAGAATTACAAGCCAACATCCCCGATGAATATAGATGCAAAAATACACAACAAAATACTAGCATCCTGAATTCAAAAACACATTAAAGGAATAATTTACCATGATCAAGTGGGATTTATCCCTGAGATGCAAGGATGGTTTCAACATATGCAAATCTGTAAATGTGATACCTCACAGTAACAGAGGAAGGATAAAAGTCATATGATCATTGCAACAGATGTAGGAAAAGCATGTGACAAAATTCTATCCTTCCACAATGAAAATTATCAATAAACTAGGTATAGAAGGAATGTACCCAACACAATAAAGGCCATATATGACAAGCCCATAGTTAACATACTCAATGGTGAAAAGTTGAAGGCTTTTACTGTAAGAACAGGAATAAGAAAAGGATGCCCACTCTCACCACTTCTTTTCAACATAGTACTGGAAGTTCTCACCAGAGCAATTAAACAAGAGAAAGAAATAAAAGGCTTCCTACTAGGAAAGGAACAAATAAAATTGCTTTTGTTTGTTGACGGGATCTTACATAACCCTAAAGACTCCACAAAAAACTGTTAGAACTAATAAACGAATTCAGTAAAGTTGCTAGACAAAATGTTAACACATGAAAATCAGCAACATTTCTATATGCTAACAACAATTGTGCAAAACGAAGTTAAGAAAACAATCCCATTTACAGTAGGAAAAAACAAAAACAAAATAAGACAAACAGGTGTAAGCTGAATCAAGTTGGAAAGATCAGCTTTAAACAGTGATGACAACTATAAACACTGATGAAAGCAATTGAAGAAAACACAAATAAATGGAAGATATTCCATGTTCATGGATTGTAAGAATTAATATAGTTAAAATGTCCATACTATTTTAAGCAATCTACAGATTCAATGGAGTCCCTGTCAAAATTCCAGTATCATTTTTCATGGAAATAGAAAATCCTAAAATTTGTATGGAATCATAAAAGAACCCAAATAGCCAAAGAAATTTTGAGCAAAAAGAACAAAGCTGAAGGCATCACACTGACTTCAAAATATATTACAAATCTATAATAATCAAAACAGCATGGCATTGGCATAAAAACAAACATATTGAGCAACAGAACAGAATAGACAATTCAGAAATAAATCCATGCATTTGCAGACAATTTTTGACAAAAGTGTCAAGAACACACAATGGGGAAAGGACAATTTCTTTAATAAAAGGTGTTATGAAAACTGGATATCCATATGAAATTAGGCCCTTATCTCACATCATATATAAAACTCAACTCAAAATGGATTAAATACTTAAATGTAAGACCTGAAACCGTAAAGCTACTGGAAGATATGGAAAACCTTCTATCACAATGATCTGGGCAATGATTTTTTTGGATAAGACCTTAAAAGCACAAGCACGAAAAGCAAAAATAGACAAATGGGATTGCATCAAACTAAAAAGCTTCTGCAAAGTAAAGAAAACAACTAACAGAGTGAAGAGACAACCCACAGATAGAAAATATTTGCAAACCATACATCTGATAAGCAGTTAATGTCTAAAATATATAAGGAACTTGCCTCGATAGCAAGAAAACAAATAACCCAATTAAAAAATGGGCAAAGAATCTGGACATTTCTCAAAAGAAGACATACAAATAGCCAACAGGTTTGTGAAAAAAATGTTCAACATCACTAATTATTAGGGAAATGCAAATTAAAACCACAATGAGAAATCACCTCACACCTGTGAGAATGGCTATTATTAAAAAGATAAAAGGTTACTCTTTGACCCTTGCCTGCAAAAAAAAAAAAAAAAAAAGATAAAAGGTAAGTGTTGGCAAGGATGTGGAGAAAAGAGAACACTTTCCCACTGTTAGTAGGAATGTAAGGTAGCACACCATTATGGAAAACAATATGGAGGTTCCTCAAAAAATTAAAAATAGAATTACCATATGATCCAATAATCCCACTTCTGGGTATATATCCTGAGGAACTGAAATCAGTATGTTGACGAAATAGTTGCACTTCCATGTTCACTGCAGCGTTTTTCACAATAGTCAAGCTATGGAATTAACCTGTACTCATCAGTGGATGAATAAAGAAAATGTTGTTTAAACACACAATGGAATACTATTCAGCCTTAAAAAAGGAAGTCTGTCATTTGTGACAAAGTGGATGAAACTGGATTATGCTAAGTGAAATAAGCCAGGCACAGAAAGACAAATACCACATGATCTCATGTGGAATCTTAAAATGTCAAACTCACAGAAGTGGAGAGTAGAATGGTGGTTACCAGAAGCCTGCAGGGGAAAGGGGAGAATAGAAGAGAGGGGATGGGGAGATGCTGTTCAAAGCTTACAAAGTTTTAGTTAGACAGGAGGAATGTTTTTGGCATCTATTTCATAGCATGGTAACTGTAGTTAATAATAATGTATATTTCAAAATTGCTACGAGAGTAACTTTTAAATGTCTCACCACAAAAAATAAGTGAGGTGATGGGATATGTTAATTATCTTGATTTAGTCATTTCATATTGCATACATATACGAAAACATCACACTGTACTCCAAAAATATATACAATTGTGATTTATCAATTAAATAATAATAAAAGTAACAATAAAAGTACTAAGGAATGCTTACAAGGCAGAGTTTAAGATATAAGACAAATGAGCACAGTAGTATGACTGAAGGAATTAAATACTGTAACATTTACTGAGCACTACATATACAGTTTTGAATTCTCACAACTCTGGAAGAATAAGAAAATTGAGACTCAGTGCAAGTAATGTACTTAAATGCATATAGTAAACACAAAGGAATTGAATTGGATCGATCAATCTTTAAATCTGAGCTGTTCACTGCAAGGTAGATAACGGAGAACAAAGGTTGGATTAATCCATGTGAACAAATTTACAGATACATTTATAAAGAAAAGACATCTTAAATCATGGGCCTTTTGGCGAAAATTTTTTCAAAATGCTCTTTACTTGGCATTTACAACTTTAGTTTAGCAAGCCCTAAAAGTGATAAGAGTCCACCGAACTGAATTTAAGCAACATTTTAGGGCCATATACCTGCGGAAAGCCAGGAAAAATCGCGTTGTTTTTTCTTTTGCCAACATCAGTTCACCTGCAGGATGCACCACAAAAGGAAAGTTGATTAAAACAAACAAACAACAAAAACAAACAAAAGAACCAAAGTGTCTCTTCCAAAAGGAAGCGTTAGTATCCAGAAAGGCGGCCTGGGACTAATTTCAGCGACGAAGTGGAACACATGGCCCTCGAGCCGCTGCCCATTATTTAGTAGAGACCAACGAGGATGGAATGTATTAGAAGAAAGGGAGGCCGAGGCAGTCAAAGGATGGATAGAGCGCGAAAACTGAAGTGGGGTCAGACCCTGGCGGGAGGGACAGCGTATGAGAGGATGAACTGGGCGGCAGGAAGAGCAGCGCGCGGGCAGGCCGGAGGGCGCAGGGCTGCTGGGAGGAAAGCCCGCGGAGAGGAGCGCCGCCACTCGGGTCCAGGGCGCGCCGTGCCGCGGCTTGGTGAGGTCACAGGCGCTTATGAGGTAGCGCGGCCCTCAGCGCTTTCGAGTTGGCGCTGAGGCGGCGTTGAGCTCAGCCGCTTCCTGCCGCCTGGGAGCCCCTCAGCGGTGGCAGCTGCAGGACCTGCGACGCCGGGCAGGGTCCCGCGCCCGCTCAGCCCGGGCTGCTCCGTGGGCGGAGCGTCGGGCTCGGTCAGGTGACCGCGGGGCGGGGCCTAGCCGCGCGGGAGCTGTGCCGCGGAGGTGCCTGAGGGGCTGGCGGCAAGTCCAGCCGGCCGGAGAGCGCTGCGGCCTCGGGCTGTGAGGGAAGGAAGGACTGCGGGAGGCTGGTAGTGGGACCCTTAGGGGACCCAGGTAGAGAGGCGAGATGAGACTTGCTGAGGAGAAGGGGAAGGAAATTGAGAGATGAGAATGCAACACGGTAGAACAAAGCAACAAAGTAGAGCCGTTATGGAGCTGAATGAAGGAAGGGTCCAGAAAAGAACAGCAGGGTGAGGGGTGACTGGGACTGATTGGGCGGTCCCGCAGCGACGGTAGCGACGGTGGTCGTTCTAGAACGGGGGAGGTCGCGGTGGTTGGGACGGAAGCTTCCCTGCTCGGTCAGCACGCGGCTTAGCCATCTATTAGAGCAATTACTTTCACCTCTTGGCTACTTTACTTGTTTTCTTGTCTACTTACTTTCTTCCGAACGAAGTCGTTCACTTCCTAAGGGTTTGGAGAAGCCTCCCCAGCACAAGCACTTGGCTGAGGTGGCGGGTCACTCAGCATTAAACAAATACGGTGATGGGGTCATGACTGAAAGTTGATTAATGGCGGTAGATGTGCCGCTTCTATTAATGGACGTTTGCTGTTCACACAGCAAGGGGTAAGTGAGTGAGCTGGAAGCTTGTGAAGAAAGCGTAGTGTGAGAGGGAAGAGGACGAAGTACTTTGTGAAGGGATGTCATACGGAGTCACTTTTCAGTGAAAATGCCTTTATTTTTCTTAAACCTTCATGAAGCCGTTTCCCCTTCAGCTACTACCTTATGTCTCTTTTTCCCTTTACAGGGTAACACCTGAGAGAGCCTAGTCCGCTGGCTGTCTCCAATGTCTCTGTCCCCCCCCCTTGTATTCCAAGGACATTGTCTCAGTGGTTCCTCTCAAGGTTGTCGTGTCCTCCATCTTGCATAATCTAATGAGCCATTCAGTACTTACCTTTTTAAATTTTTTTCTCCCACCCCAATTCATATGTTGCAATTCAGTACTTATCTTAAGTGACCTAAAGCAGCATTACCACAGTTGATTACTCTTTTTTTTTTTTTTTTTTTTTTGAGACAGAGTCTTACTCTGTTGCCCCGGCTAGAGTGCTGTGCCATCAGCCTAGCTCATAGCAACCTGAAACTCCTGGGCTCACGCGATCCTTCTGCCTCAGTCTCCCAAGTAGCTGGAACTACAGGCACATGCCACCATGCCCAGCTAATTTTTTCTATATATTTTTAGTTGTCCAGCTAAATTCTATTTTTTTTTTTTTAAGTAGAGACCGGGTCTCGCTCTTGCTTAGGCTGGTCTTGAGCTCCTTGAGCTCAAACGATCTGCCCGCCTTGGCCTCCCATGATTACTCACTCTTAAAGTACTTTCTTCACTTGGAATCCAGGAACCCATATTCACCTGATTTTTCTCTTCTCATTAACCACAGTGATCCTTTCAGAAAGGATTTAAGATCATGTCATCCCTCTGCTCAAAACTCTTCAACGCTTCCCACACCTTTAGAGTACCAGTGAAAGTGCTTACTATGATCTAGGGGTTCTCCATTATCTGTCTTCCTCCCTTAACCTTTCTGATCTCCTCTCCTCCTCCTTTCCCTTTTGCTTTCTCTGCTGCAGCCTCATGGGCCTTCCCACTGTTCCTTGAACATTCAGGCTACTTCTTGCCTCAGGTCCTTTATACTTATTTTTCTTTGTGGCTGTAATGTGTTCTTCCTTAAGATATTCATTGGCTTCCTACTATAATTCCTTCAGTTCTGTATTCAAAACTCTCCCTCTCCATGGCCACACATTATGTTCCCTGCATCTCTCCCCCATATCACACTTCATAGTCCCTTCCCCTGTTTTACTTTTTCTTTTGTACTTATTTTAGGTAACATACAATATGTTTTACTTATTTTTCTATTTTATCATCTCTCTCCCCTACTAGAATGTAAGCTCTATGAGGTTAGATTTTTTTTTTTTTGAAATACATATATGTTAAATTCATGTATGGAGAGATGAATGGAAAGATGATTGGAGAAGAGGGATATAGCTCCTTCCATTTTTCTTGATTGGTCCCTGGAAATTCATAGAAACATCATGGGATGAAAGAGTTGAGAAATAATTCTTTTGTCAGAATTATGGGGAAGAGACATGTTATTTTTTTCTCTAGGCTTGGAGAGACTTATGTGGTATCTGATTCATCCAGAAAATTAAGACCTTCCAATTGTTTGGTAATCAGATCAATAAATTATGAAACAGTTATTCCTTTTAAGATTTACTTAAATCATGCCAACTCTGCTTAGTTAGCTACCTTGATGATTTAAGAACTCTTAGTGAATAGTTTAATAGGGAGGCAATTCATTTATCCTTCCCCCTTTTCCTTTCTCCCTTCATTCCTTCCCTCCCTCCTTTCTTCCTTTCCTTCTTTCATAATATTTATATACATTGTGCTTGATACTGTAAGAAATAATTTTAAGACTAAGTTACCAGTCCCAGTTTTTAGAAATTTAGGCTATAGTTGATATAAGAGCTGTACAATGAAAATTAAATAATACAAGGCAAATTATTAATACCAGTTGAATAGTAAAGACATGAACAGTGAAGGCAGTAAGTGCTATGCAAAGTGGTTTAGAGATTGAATTGATTGGAGAAGATCTAGAAGCAGTTACATAGAATGGGTTAATGGAGAGACCTGTAATGATTTCTAATATCTTCTGAGATGGGTATTTTTAACATAGTTTTATTTTTAACATATTTTGAATTCTAGGAATGTTGTACATACCACATTCAAAAGTAATTACTGTAACATATGTCAGAAATAAACACAAATGATTTTAAAGAACTGTTTCTCCATTAGACAGAATATTATCAATACTTGTAAACTTTACAATATGAAAAAGACTGATGATTACAACTAGCGATGTAATGTAATGTAATATAGCTAGTATTGTAACAAATAGCTCATCAAATGTGACTCGGATATGAGTAAAAAACACTGAAAATTTTAGGAAAGGGGTGGTTATTGCATTTGCATAATGTGAAAATCTTTGGTTTTAAACCAGGCTAAAACATTTTTGTTTACAATAATGTCATTTTGAGAGGCAGTGTTGTATGATGCAGAACACAGCCGCTTCGGAGTTAGATTGCCTGAATTCAAATTCTGACTCCATTATTTGCTGGCTGTGTGACCTTGAGAAACTTGATCTCTTCAAGTCTTTATTTTTACTATCTGTAAAATAGGGAAGACAATTTCTTTAATTTTAATTTAATTTTTTGGGTAGAGACAGGGTCTTGCTGTGTTGCCCAGGCTGGTCTTGAACTCCTAGCCTCAAGTGATTCTCCTGCCTCACCCTCCCAAAGTGCTGGGATTATAGGCGTGAGCCACTGCACCTGACCGATAATGACAATTTCTTAAAGTGTGGTTGTGAGGAATAAATGAAATAATTCATGTCAAAGTGTTTATCATAATGGCTAGCAACAGTAAGCACTGAATAACATGAGTGATTACTGCTATTTTAGTAATTTGGCTTCTCAGGATTTATTTGAATAAATAAATATAATTGGATTTCTGTGCTTTGTATGCCATTTCAAACAGGATTTCTTTACTTCTCTTTATATCACAAAAGGTACAGTTAAGGAACTGGATGATCTGTGATTTATGATTTACTGACTGCTTTTTCTAGCTTTTGTCTACTTATCTGTGTTGGTGAAATTTATTAGTTATTATACCTTAAGTGGTTGTTACACTGAAGAGATAACTAGGTGAATATAATTACTTAAGTCTTCTAAACAAACATATTATATTTTCTTTCTCTTTTTTCTTATTTGGGCAGGAAATCCTTTTGTACTGTTGTTCATTCACACTTGTTCATCAAGGCCTTTGAGTCCTCAAGGGCAGAATTTACCTCTAAACAGAAAGATGGAAACTAAAGTACATTTATTCTGCCAGGTATTTATTTATAACAGTTTCTAAAGATTCCTTCTTTTTTTTTATTAGTTTACATTACCTCACATGCGTAATCAGTAAGCAAATTCATAGAGTAATAAAGCTATAAGGAACCTGCCTAATAACTGAGATGACTTTTGCACTCTCTTAGTGGACATATATTGGACTCTTATCCCAGAAACCCATGTAGTACTAAGAAATCTTCTGTGGTGTATGAGGAGAGTATTTTGAGGGGTAAGGACCTGGATAATTTCTCAGGAGATTGAAAGATTTAAACTTATGTGAGAAGTTGTAGATAATGTAATTAATGATGTGGAGTCTAACCACAAAGCAATAAAAAGATATCAATTTCTCTAGCCTTCTTATCTGTGCTTCAGATTTTTATGTCCCCTTTGACTTTTTAGATTTCCCACTCCCCCTTTTTTTTTGCTAGTATTGTGTCAAATAAAACAAAATCTGTCATATGAAAACATCTGGACTTAGGAGGGACTTTATCAGAAAGAATTATTGCAAGAGAAGAAAGGGGCTATTGAAATAGAAGGAGGGGGACTGTTGCAATGCAGAAAATGCTGTCGTCATAAGATGTCTGCCAGCATCTCAAGGGTTAGGCAAAAGGGGTTTTCTTTTATAGAGAGGAGTAAACAAGACTGGAAAGAACCAGGTGTGGGAAAGTGAGATGAAAGAATAGCATGATTAGATGAGTAGATCAGAGAATATTTTAGCATGAGGCCAATCTATTTTGTTCTGATTTTCAATGGGGATGAAACAATTTAGCTAGTCATTTATGAGGCAAAGACAATTTTGATGGTCTATGTCTGGCTTTGTCATAAGTAACAAGAGAGGGCATTCATGAGTTTTATCCTCATATGGGGAGGGATGGTTTACAGTAAGCTGTTTTTCAGAACACAAAAAGCTAAGAGGATTCCTTTAACCTTCAGTTTGCTGGGAGTACAGGGCTCAGGTAAAATTCATTGTAATTGAGAGTCCTAATCTTTTAAATTTATTCTTTTGGTGGATCTGGTGCCACTATATGAGACATGTACCTATACTATAACCTAAAAAATAATTTCAGAGATTCTTGGTAAATACTGAGATATGTACTTTATATCATATATATTTTAAATTTTGTTCTACCTTTTTATATCCAGTAGTTTGTTGATTTTGTGCTTATAAACTGATTTTGAAGACGAATTCTTAAAAAGTTAATATTAATATATCATACCAGTTTTTTTTCCTTAAGCTATATAATTTATACTTCACAAATGGTTTACCTTTAACCATGGGGTTTCAGAGATTCTTTTCTTTCTTTTTCTTCTGCATTAGTTTCTATATACTATTTGACTATTTACATATACCTAGCCGTTGGCAACAGGTTTTTATACCCCTCTGTCTTTTAGGTTCTTCATCCTTTTTCCCACCCTTGCTTTCTATTTTGGGTTGTTTAAAAAAATCTCTCTAGGAATCCTTTCATCATCTGTAATAGACATCAAGGCAGCAAATCAAAAGGCCATTTTGAAACAAGTTGTTAAAGCTGTGCCCTTACTGAAGACAAATATGTGCAAATTTTAAAAGTCACTGAAATAGTTCCATGAATTTCCATCTTACATAGAAATAGAGATTTTCTCTAAACTCCCTTGGTATTCTTCTTTATAAATTACTGTATAATCTTCAGGGGCACCTTTGGGTTCAAGGGCTCAGGGCTTAAAAACTTATGCACGTTATGCTGGGAAAACTGGATATCCATATGTAGAAGAATGAAACTAGACCCTTTCTCCCTCCATATAAAAATGTATTAAAGACTTAAATCTAAGACCTGAAACTATGAGACTAGTAAAAGAAAACATTGGGGAAATGCTTCTTTAATAATACCCCCAAAGCACAGGTAACCAAAGTAATATTGGATAAGTGGGATCACATTAAGCTAAAAATCTTCTGCACAGCAAAGGAAACAATCAACAAAGTGAAGAGTCAACCCACAGAATGGAAGAAAATATTTGCAAACTACCCATCTGACAAGGAGTTAATAACAGAATATATAAGGAGCTCTTACAACTCAATATGAAAAAAATCAAATTATCAGATTAAAAAATTAGTAAAGGATCTGATTTTTTCTCTTTTTTTTTTTTTTTTTTTTTTGAGACAGAGTCTCGCTTTGTTGCCCAGGCTAGAGTGAGTGCCATGGCGTCAGCCTAGCTCACAGCAACCTCAAACTCCTGGGCTCAAGCGATCCTTCTGTCTCAGCCTCCCAAGTAGCTGGGACTACAGGCATGAGCCACCATGCCCGGCTAATTTTTTTTTTTTATATAGGCTAATTTTTTTTTATATATATTAGTTGGCCAATTAGTTTCTTTCTATTTATAGTAGAGACGGGGTCTCGCTCTTGCTCAGGCTGGTTTCGAACTCCCGACCTCGAGCAATCCACCCGCCTCAGCCTCCCAGAGAGCTAGGATTACAGGCGTGAGCCACCGCGCCCGGCCTGATTTTTTCTATTTGAGACATTTCTCAAAAGAAGACATACAAACGGCCAACAGGTATATGAAAAAAATGTTCAACATTGTTAGTCATCAAAGAAATGCAAATCAAAATGAGATATCACCTCACTCCAGTTAAATGGCTTTTATCAAAAAGGGAATAAGGAATGCTGGCAAGTGTAAGGGTGGAAGGCTCACCAGGTAATCATGTAGTGGGTGGAGAAAGAGTTCTCACACAAAGATTAGGGTATATAAAAGTAAAAAGTTTACTTATTTTTCCAAGAAAGAAAAGGAGAGAGAGAGAAAGAGAAAAGGAGGCAGTGGCCACGGCACACAGAGGAGGAAAGAAGTGCTAGGCAGCTAAGGAAAAGCTGTTTAGAGTTTTTAAAGGATAAAAATGGCTTTTTACCCCCCTCTGCTTCAGCAGACTGGTAACAGAAGTGGATGCAAAGCGGTTTCAGGTGCTCTTTATTTTTTCTCTTTTCTCTGTGAGGCCAGCTTATCTGAGTCCTTGAAATGTGTTTCTGGCAGGAGCTGAGGCAGAGAGCTGGAGTGAGGAGTTTGCAACCCAACTGTCTGTCTAGGGCTCTTCAAGGCTGAGAAAACAAAACTCTTAGAGATAACGAGTTAGGCCACAGGTATTTTAATTAAAACAAAACAAAGGGGGCCTGGTGTGGTGGCTCACACCTGTAATCCTAGCACTCTGGGAGGCACAGGCCAGAGGATCACTCAAGGTCAGGAGTTTGAAACCAGCCTGAGCAAGAGCGTGACCCTGTCTCTACTAAAAATAGAAAGAAATTAATTGGTCAACTAAAAATATATAGACAAAAAATTAGCCAGGCATGGTGGCGCATGCCTGTAGTCCCAGCTACTCAGGAGTTTGAGGTTGCTGTGAGCTAGGCTGATGCCACGGTACTCTAGCCTGGGCAACAGGGTGAGACTCTGTCTCAAAAAAACAAAACAAAACAAAAAAACAAAAGGGAGTAGTTGTGAGTTGTCTCCAAAAATCCAAAAGGGAGTAGTTGTGAGTTTTCTCTTCCAAGGGGCAATTTTGTGCTGAGTGTATTTCTCTTACTTTCTGTTTATTTTCCTTTGTTAGATAGGTTATTAGTAAGGCCACCTTTCAGTAAGGATGTGGAGAAAGGGGAACTCTCATACACTGTTGGTAAGAATGCAAATTAGTGCAACCATTGTGGAAAACAGTACGGAAGTTCCTCAAAAACTAAAAATAGAACTACCATATGACCCAGCAAGCCTACTGCTGAGTATGTAACCAAAGGATGAGAATTTAGTATATCAAAAAGATATCTGCACTCCCATCTATATAACAACACTATTCACAGTAGCAAAGATATGGAATCAACCTAAGTGTCCATCAACAGATGAATGGATAAAGAAATTGTGGTACATATACACAATGGAATATTATATAGCCACAAAAAGGAATGAAATCCTGACATTTGAAAAAACAAGGATGGAACTGGAAAATGTGTTAAGTGAAGTAAGCCAAGCACAGAAAGACAAATCTCTCATGTTCTCACTCATATGTGGGAGTTAAACATTAAAAATAATTGATCTCATGGACACAATAAAATGACGGTTACCAGAGACTGGGAAGGGTGGCACCGGTGGGGGTTGGATAAAGTAGGGATGATTAATGGATGCAAAAATATAGTTAGATAGATATACACTACTTGATAGCACAATGAAGTGACTATAATTGACAACAAGTTAAGGTATACTTTAACTAGAAAAGTGGAATTGCAATGTTCCTAACACAAAGAAATGTTAAATGCCTGAGGTGATGGATACTCACCTAATTACCCTGATTTGATTAATTCACATTGTATGCCTTGTATCACATTGTATGCATTGTATCAAAACATCACATGTACCCTATAAAGATTTACAACTATTATATAACCATAATAATTAAAAATAAAAATTAAAAAACTACATATACACCTTTGATTTACTAGATGCAGTCCAATTATCATAAGCAAACAGCCACATTTTAAGAGAGACTATTTCCAACTTCATTTCTCTTTCTCTAAACATGTTCATTGTCATTAAACTCTAGTTGCTTTATTGGGGTATGAAGAGGTGTCTACTTAGAAGTAATATAGCTTCTTTTTCTTTTAAATAGACTTTATCTTTTGCAACAGTTTTAGGTTGAAAGCAAAATGGAGTGGAAAGTACAGAGAATTACTGTATGCCCACTGCCTTCATCCATGCACAGCCTCCCCCACTATCAACATCCTGTACCAGAGTGGTACATTTGTTACAATCGATGAACCTACATTGATACATCATTATTATCCAAAGTCCATAGTTTACGTTAGGGTTCATTTTAGGTGTATGGGTTTGGACAAATGTATAATGACATGTAGCCAACATTATATTAATAGTATCATACAGAATAGTTTTATTGCCCTAAAAATTCTCTGTAAAAATAAATAAAATAAATAGCTCTGGCTATTTCTCCCTCCTTTCAACCCCTAGCAACCACTCATCTTTTACTGTCTCCATAGTTTTTCCCTTTCCAGAATGTTATATAGTTGGAATTATATAGTATTTAGCTTTTCAGTTTGGCTTTTTTTCATTTAATATGCATTTAAAGTTCCGACATGTCTTTTAATAGCTTGATAGCTCGTGATTTTAGCACTGAATAATATTCCATTTTCTAGATGTACCACAGTTTATTCATTTACATACTGACGGACATCTTAGTTGTTTCCAAGGTTTGACAATTATGAATAAAACTGCGATAAACATCCAAGGGTAGGTTTTTGTGTGAACATAAAGTTTCAACTCATTTGTGTAAATATCAACAAATACAATTGCTGTATTGCATGATAAGAGTATGTGTCGTTTTGTAAGAAACTGCCAAACTATCTTTCAAAGTGGCTCTACCATTTTTGCTGTCCCACCAGCAATGGTGAAAGTTCCTCTTGTTCCACATCCTTCCCAGCATTTGTTGTTAGTGTTTTGGATTGCTGCCATTCTCTTTTAAATGATTTTTTCTTATTATTTTAGATTAATGCATAATAATTGTGTATATTTATGGGGTACAATGTGATATTTTTGTCTATGTATACATTATAGAAAGAATCAGTTACATTATTAACATATCCATTGCTTCATCAACTTATTTTTTGTGGCTAAAATATAAAAACATCTATTCTTTTAGTACTTTTGAAATATATATTATTAACTGTAGCCACCAGGCAGTGCAATAGATCACTAAAACTTTTTGTCTAACTGAAACTCTGTACCCGTTGATCAACATCTTTCCTTTCCCCATCCCTCTTTGTCTATTCCTTCAAGCCTCTGGTAACCACTTTTCTAATCTCTGTTTCTATGAGATCAGTTCTATCCATGCAATTGTGAATGACAGAATTTCTGTCTTTTTAAAGACTGTGGAATATTAGATTGTAAATACATATACAAACCACGTTTTCCTTATCCATTCATCTGTTGATGGTCACTTAGGTTGCTTCCATATCTTGGCTATTATGAATAATACTGCAGTGAACATGGGAGTGCAGATATCTCTTCAACATACTGATTTTATTTCCTTTGGATATATACACAGGAGTGGGATTGCTGGATCATGTGGTAATTCTATTTTTTTTGTTGTTGTTTTTGACGAACCTCCATAATATTTTCCAAAATGGCTGTGCTAATTTACATTCCCACCAACAGTATACAAGGGTTCCTTTCCTCCCACATCCTTGCCAAATTTGTTATCTTTCATCTTTTTGATAATAGCCATTCTAACAGATATGAGGTGCTATCTTGTGGGGTTTTTTTTGGTCGTTGTTAGAGACAGAGTCTCGCTCTGTCACCCAGGCTGGGGTGCGGTGCAGTAGCACAATCATAGATCCCTGTAACCTTGAACTCCTGGGCTTAAGTGACCCTCTTGCCTCAGCCTCCCAAGTAGCTGGGACTTTAAGCTCAAGTCTAACTAATTTAAAAAAAAAAATTTTTTTTTTTGTAGACTTGGAGTCCTACCATGTTTTCCAAGTTAGTCTCAAACTCCTGGGCTCAAGCCATCTTTCTGTCTCAGCCTCCCAAAGTGCTGGAATTACAGGTGTGAGCCACTGCACCTGGACCTCATTGTGGTTTTAATTTCCATTTCCATGATGATTAGAATTGTTGAGCATTTTTTCATGTATCTGTTGGCCGTCTGTGTCTCTTGAGAAATGTATGTCCAGATCATTTGCTAATTTTTAAATCATATTATTGTTTCATTGCTGTTGTGATATTTGATTTCCTTGTATGTTTTGAATATTAACCTCTTATCAGATGTATGGTTTGCAGATATTTTCTCTTAATTTATAGGTTGTTTCTTCGCTTTGTTGTTTCCTTTGCTGTGCAGAAGCTTTTTAGTTTGATGTGATCCCATTTGTCTATTTTCGCTTTTGTTGCTTGTGATTTTAGAGTCCTGTTCAAGAAATCATTGCCCAGATGTTCAGCCTTAAGGCCACAGGTGGCCTTCTAGATCCTTAAGTGTAGTCTTTTGACTGAATCCAAATTTTACAGAACCACAGAACAAAAACAAGTGGTAAACTTTTGCAACTTGATGCCTTAAGGGCTAGATTCAATAACTGTTAGACATATTCATGAATGCTCTGCATTTTATAGCTATAATATACAAAGGAAAATTAGAGGGATTTAGAATATGTACTTAATCTGGAATAATAATGTGCTAATGAATAAAACCTTTTTCACAAAATTTCTTTGGTAGCACTATTTTAGAAAGAATATTGATCTAAAATGAATAATTTGACCCAGAAAGTCATATTTAATGTATAAGTACAAAGAGAACATGCCTCATTGTGCCTCTTGATTATTCCACAGACAGAAGAAAATATTGACTTATCAGATGATAGCTCTAATTCTTTTGCAACTGATTTACCATCGAGAAATATTGATAGCAAGAAATACATCAAGTTTTCTAAAACAATGGAGAAGAAAATTTCACCTGAAATTAGAGGTTTGAGCCCAGAACACAAAACAATATAAGTTAAAAACTCTGAACTTAATTTATTGAATTATATTTTTGCAGATTTAAGAGAGCCAAAGGGCTGGGTGCACTGGTTTACACCTGTAATCCTAGCACTCTGGGAGGCTGAGGCAGGAGAATCACTGGAGGTCAGTAGTTTGAAACCAGCCTGAGCAAGAGTGAGACCTGTCTGTAGTAAAAATAGGAAAAAAATTAGCCATGTGTGGTGGTGCCTGACTGTAGTCCCAGCTACTTGAGAGGCTGAGGCAGAAGGATCCCTTACGCTCAGGAGTTTGAGGTTACAGTGAGCTATGGTGATACCACTGCACTCTAGCATGGGTGACAGAATGGCAGAGCAAGACTCTGTCTACAACAAAACAAAACAAAACAAACATAGAGCAAAAAATGTATTAATAGTTTATGTGTTCTCATAATGTATCACATATACAGGATCATGCATATTTGTGGCCATTCTTCCAGGAGCATAGTTTTCACTCCTAAATGGCTATTGTTAAACTTTTTCTCACTTTCTCACTTCTCTGATAGCCATGTGGAAGCCTATAAGCTATCATAAGATTCCAGTTAGAGAAGAGCAATGTGTCTGTAAGTTTATTTTAAAGAGAATTTAGAAAGGAAACAGAAGGGTTCTTCCCTCTGTGCTTGGATTTGTACTTTTCATGAAATTAAGCCATTTGAATCCTTTGGCAGTTCTTTCTTATGTGCTGCATTGCCTAGTTGCCTTTCCTTAGTTACAGAAGCTCTAGCATTTCATGTGCAACTAGGAGAAATACTCAATCTGTATTTTTAATATTTATAAAATGACTAAAAAGGAAACAAAATTATCACAAAGAAGAAAGCCTCTGAGTTAAGGGCTTATTTCACTTTATCTTTCTCCAACTAAATGCTGATCTTAACCTGTTGGTGAAATTGGAAATTACCTGCATTTTGTGATTGAAGAGGCACTTGAACTAAAATCTCCTCTACCTACCATAGCCTTTGTTTCCCTTTTATTTAACCTTAATATTTTATATGACAAAAGGCAAGGCAATTATTTCTAGAAGACTATGATAAAACTCGTTACCTGGAAGGAAAGGAGGTGGTGGGAGTGTCCCTTCACCTTCTTTCATGAGCATTGTTCAAAATAACAACACTTTGGGGCTGCAGTCCCCAACCCCTGGGCCAAGGACTGGTACTAGTCCATGGCCTGTTAGGAACTGGGCCACACAATAGGTGGTGAGTGGTGGGTGAGCAAGTAACCCATTGAAGCTTCATCTGGATTTACAGCTGCTCCCCATTGCTTGCATCATTGCATAATCAGTGACTGTGGCATTGTAGGAGTGCGAACCCTACCACAAATAGAGAGTCAATTGGACATTATGTGCTTCCTGATGGAAAAACACTACCACCTATATAGGGTTTTGCACCCCCCACCCCAATGTTGAATGTTTATATGATCAAGCCTCTAGAAGCCTACAACTATGTTAATATAATCAGCAAAATTCATACTGTAGAAAATCTACAAGAACTGGTAATAATAATAATAAGTGATATGAAAGGAGAACTTATGGATGAAAAGAGATTTAGAAGACATATCAACAAACTATAATTGGGGATGTTAATGAATTCTGATGTAAAGTGTTAAAAATTTTTTTGACATTTGTGAGACAACTGGAAATTAGAACACTGCCTGTATATTTGATGATATTAAGAAATTATTAATTTTTTAGTTGTCATAATGATTTTTAAAATCTCTTTTAAAGAAAAAACACCTTGTAGAGGTGTGTGTTAAAATTTTTATAGGTAAAATAATATGACACTAGAATTTATTCAAAACATAATAAGTGTGGGGATATATATATATTTTTTTTATTTTATTTTTTTTGAGACAGAGTCTCACTTGTTGACCAGGCTAGAGTGAGTGCCGTGGCGTCAGCCTAGCTCACAGCAACCTCAATCTCCTGGGCTCAAGCAATCCTTCTGCCTCAGCCTCCCGAGTAGCTGGGACTACAGGCATGCGCCACCATGCCTGGCTAATTTTATATATATATATTAGTTAGCCAATTAATTTCTTTCTATTTATAGTAGAGACGGGGTCTCACTCTTGCTCAGGCTGGTTTCGAACTCCTGACCTCGAGCAATCCGCCCGCCTCAGCCTCCCAGAGTGCTAGGATTACAGGCGTGAGCCACTGCGCCCGGCTGATATATTAATAGATGAAACGAGATTGGCCATTATTGAGGCTGGGTGATGAGTACATGGGGATATATATCATATTATTCTACTTTTGTATATGTTTGAAAATTTCCCTAACTGAAAGTTGAAAATAAGAAGAAAAATCAGAAACATTTAGGAGTTATTTCAATTTTTGTGCAATTTAGGTATGAAACATCAATATTCCTATGTGAAAAAGAAAAGTTCTCTGATTTTTCAGGAGAAATAAATATCAAGAGAAAGAAAATTTTACAAGCACAACAGCACAGTAAAAAAACTGAGGTAACCAGCCTGAGCAAGAGCGAGACCTCATCTCTACTATAAATAGAAAGAAATTGGCCAACTAATATATATAGAAAAAATTAGCCGGGCATGGTGGCACATGCCTGTAGTCCCAGCTACTCGGGAGGCTGAGGCAGGAGGAGGCTGAGGCAGGAGGATCGCTTGAGCCCAGGAGTTTGAGGTTGCTGTGAGCTAGGCTGACGCCATGGCACTCACTCTAGCCTGGGCAACAAAGTAAGACTCCGTCTCAAAAAAAAAACAAACAAAAAAAAAACTGAGGTAAATAAAGTTTTGGAAATTTTTCTTTCACCTCAAGAGTTGTCCTTAGCCCCCAAACATTCCCTTACATTTTACTCCAAGTTTTGAAAGGATACAATCTTACATATTACTACTATTTCTTTCTCTTTCTCCTCCTCTTCTACTCCTCTTCTTCATTCTCCTTCTCCTTTAAAAAAAAATAGAACAAGGAATTCTTTCAGAAGATTATGAAATTTTTACCGTTCTTTCTCTATTTAACCAGTACATATATATTTTACTGTATTCTCTGTTAGCATTTCTGCTGTTTAAACAATGATCCTAGGTGTCTCTTTGTTTGCAGCAGCATAACTCCAATCACTGCCTCCGTCTTCACATGGGTCTTCCCATGGTCTTCCTCTCTGTATCTGTATCTCATCTTTCTCTTCCTATTTTTTTATTTTTATTTTATTTATTTATTTATTTTGAGACAGAGTCTCACTCTGTTGCCCAGGCTAGAGTGCCATGACGTCAGCCTAGCTCAGAGCAACTTCAAATTCCTGGGCTCAAGCAATTCTCCTGCCTCAGCCTCCCGAGTAGCTGAGACTACAGGCATGTACCACCATGCCTGGCTAATTATATATATATATATTATATTACACACACTATATATATATATATATATATATATATATATATATACATATATATATTTTTTTTAGTTGTCCAGCTAATTTCTTTTTGTTTTTTTAGTGGAGGTGGGGTCTTGCTCTTGCTCAGGCTGGTTTCCATCTCCTGAACTCAAAGGATCCGCCTGCCTCGGCCCCCAGAGTGCTAGGATTACAGGCTCTTCCTATTTTTTTATAAGCACATCTGTCATTGCATATCTCATCTCAAGATCTTAACTTTATTACATCTGGAGATACTTTTTCTCCAAATAAGATCACTCTCACGGGTTCTAGAGGGTAGGACATGGACATATCTTTTTGTGGAGCCACCATTAAACCTACTACATTCACTATGATATACTTATAAGGATGCATATTTCTTTTTATTTTTCTGTCTTATTATTTGTTGTGCTTCCTGAATCTGAGATGCATGCCTTTCTTCAATTCTGGAAAAGTCTAATCCATTATTTTTTAGAATATTTTCTCTCCCTTAATCTTTTTGCTATCCCTCTGGATCTTCTATTAGATGTATATTAGATCTTATCATTCTATTATCTATATTCTTTAACATTACTTCATATTTTTCATATATTTTTCTCTATATATTTTGTTCTTGGTAATTTCTCCCCATCTAATTTCTAGTTCACTTATTCTTTATCTAGCTGTATCTAATCTAAAGTTTAACCTGTCCTTTGAGATTTTAATTTCTGTGACTATATTTTTTACTTCTAGAAGTTTTATTTGGTGGCTCTTGAAATATGCCTGATGTCTTGTTCTTTGCTCCATATTCCATAGTTGTTTCAAGATTAGTATCCAGTAGATGAAGTTCTTGGGGGAATCTAAATCTTGTGTTTGTGGTTTTATCTGATTCTCACTGAAGTTAACATGTGTCCTTGGGTGTTTTATATGTTTTGTACATCCTTTCATATGTAGTTGATTTATATTTGTGGGAATCTCATGATGAAACTGTCCTCCTCGAAGATAATCTTTTTAAGGAGAATTTATATTTGCTTCTGCCATGCACTTCAGAAGTCTTAAAAGATCTGAGATCACTTTAAATGAATTTTTTGGTTTCTATTTTCCTAACCCATATATTTAGTATAGATTTGAATTCTAAAGTTATATGTGTGTAGAGTTATGGTTATTACTAATCAGGAGAAGTAGGCTTTCTTCCTTTCTCTCTTTTTTTAATTCTAGCCAGGAGCTGAGACTGAGACACATTTTACTCTTATATTTTTACTGGGGTATAAGTTTTTTTTCTTAGCTCACTCTTGTTGAGAACATTGCCTTTTGAAGATTTTGGCTCTATGCAGGATCTCAGTACCAATTCCTATCAATCTTATGTGACTTGAGAGTCTTCTTTCTACACTCTGCATGGTTATTAAAACTCAAGGCTCATGTAAAATTGAAGATACCTATAATTAGAGTTCTCATTTTCTAAATGGTACTTTTCTATCCTAGCTGCTTTCCTTTTTTGATTTATGTTTATATATGCAGTGTTAAGTGGATAATTTACTAAATCATAAGGATAATTTAATACAAAGTTAGCTGTATCATTTGAGTAACTGTGTTGGATTTCCACATTATTTTGCATATATAGTCAAAGCCTGTGTATGTTGCCTAGTCTTGTGGCTGAGTCATCTTGTTCTTACCATACTATGGGTTTTTCTTGATTTATAAAATCCCTTACTATATATTGACAAGATATTAATTAGGAGGTGATTAGTTGCCTACTTAAGAAAAGCATGGCTTTGTATTGTTTATTTAAAATTTTAGTATATACAAAATGTAATTTAATTACAGAAAGCAATTTTACATCAGAAACATAACTGAGGAGCTGAGGTATGATTAATTATCTTTTAAGAGGTTTATTATCCAAGAATACTGAATTACCAGTGTGATCTCAGGCACCAATATACTTTCATTTGGCTGTAGGTTGTCTCTACCTCTCTGAAGCTGTCAAAGGAGAAGATGACTAGGAAAGAAAACTCTTTATGTAATTTACCAAATCATTACAGCATTCATAAGACTTTACCACCCGTTTGTCATCTTCCTCAAATATTTGGTATTTAAATCATTGTATTCTATTCCTTGAATGTTGGGTTCAGACTTGGGGTTTTTATTTCCAGAGTTATCTATCCCTTCCACATAAAAAATGCCAAATAGTTTGTGCAAACCAAGAGACTATGCTCTTAGAAAGGATATTGTAGAGATAAAAGCACTGTATGTGAAATTCTAAGACTTAGATTTGAGTCCTGATTGACCTCACATGATAGCATAGACTCTTTTTTTTTTTTTCGGCATATGATGGGGGTACAGATTTTAAGGTTTCAATAAATGCCCTTTCCCCCCTCCCTCTACAAGTCTGAGTCTCCAGCATGACCGTCCCCCAGATGGTGCACATCTCACTCATTATGTATGTATATACCCACCCGATAGCATAGATTCTTGTAAAATTTATTTTACATCTCTGAGCTTCGCTTTCCACATCTGTACAAGAATTGTGTACTAGGTGGACCCTTAAGATTTCTTCCAACACTAACATTATATGATTTCAGTTATTTACATGTTATAGTATCAGATGAATCATCTTTTCCAGGCATTTTTACTGATGGGTGATGAAATCTATGATTCTTTGGTTGATTAAAGATGTTCTTATTTGCCTTATTATAATAACTTTCTTAAAATTTTTCTGTGACTTGGATTATGAATAGGAAAAATTGGACCATAGCCAAATGATAGTGGGTCATGGGTACTGTTTATTGACTAGGGTAAAATATGCCTGATGAAGAAATATATCATCTGAAAGAAATAAGATGGAAATTCTGAGATGAAAAATATGGAATTCCTCATTCAGTTCTTCAAGAAATGTTCTTAAAAATCTCAGGCTATTGATAGGTTTGCTAGTATTTTTAAATGGGATTTTGTATATATATTTTTGCTGCTTATAATGTGGCTGTTTCTTTGACAGGAATAAAGAAATGCTTTCTAACCTCTACCTGACATTATATGAAGACGTACCCTATGGACACTTAGAAGAAATAAGTGGTAATAAGAGGTTCTAGAATTTCTTGAATAAATTTCCTGATTATGTGCTTTTTAGGAATTGTTTCAGCAGTTAGTGCCTTTTCTACTCCTAGTAGGTAAGGTATCAGCTGATATTACATGCTATGGCGAGTGCTGCAGGCTGAGGAAGAAAAAGCAGATAGTTTAATCCATAAATATCCTTTGTTGTATTGGTAAATAAGCAAAATATAATATATATGCTTATTCTAGTTCGAATGTACTTTTTGGAAAAATGTCTGGGTATTACATACAATGGATAAATTAGTAAGCTCTGGAGTCACTGCTATCACTGGAATTTAGTCTTTACTACCTTGATATTAAGACTTATACCCTATACTCCTTCTTAACACTGACCTCTCCCATATTTTGGGCTTCTCCTTTATATTTACAGAGTAATTTGGCATATATTTTCCTTTTATATAAGTTTGACTATTTTAGATACCTTATATAATTGGAATCATGTATTTGTCCTTTTATGATTGACTTATTTATTTAGCATAATGTCCTCCAGATTTATCCATGTTATCATATACTGTAAGATTTCCTTTTTTAAGCTTGAATAATATTCCATTGTATGCTTATACCATGCTTTTCCCTACTCATCTGTGGATAGACATTTAGGTTGTTTCAACAGCTAGGCTGTTGTGAATAGTGTTGCAGTAAATGGGAGTGTTAATACCTTTTCAAAATCCTAATTTTAATTCTTTTGGATAAATACCCAGAAGTGGGATTGCTGGATCATCTGGCTTTGTTATTTCATAGAGAGTTAGTAACTAAGGCTGCTGTGCAGCTTCCTAAACTCCTTGCTATTTCTACTATAAGCTTATCTATAAAACAACATTCATATCCTTCTCTCTTGTCTCATTGGAAAAAGTTACTTTTCACCAGACTAATCCCTTCATTTTTCACTTGTATTCAGTTTTCTTCTGCTTTTTCAGGGTCTATACTTTGCCAATTTTATACTCAATATTTTTCAGAGGCACTTATTGAAAGAGTTGTTTTCATTAATTAATTACTACATATTTTTTCACTTTCCATTTCACTGAAATCTGGCTTCTACCTCCAATATTCTGCTAAAACTCCTGTTATTAAAGTCATTATCGTCAATTGTTTAGTTTTTCTCTTGGATTTTGCACTGTCTTTGATTGCCTCTTTTTGAAAATAAAGTGTAGTATCCACTGAACTAAACCCCAGTCAGTTCAACAGACATTTTTTGATAATCTATTTTGAATTAAGCATTGAAAACAGAAGAATGAAAAATCTTGCCCCCTAGGAGCTGACAGTTTAGTGAGGGATATTGACATGTAAGCAATCACAATACCAAGAGCATTGACTGAGATATATATTCAGTGCTATAGGAGCACAGAGGAAAAATTTAATATTCTCAGGGAACGCTGTAGAAGCCTTTACCTAATGTGAACCTTGCATGACTTTTTTCACAGTTTCGGAGCGTTCTTTAGTAAACTGATTGACTTAGAGGTCATTGGCTTCAAACATACCTAAATAAGTCATGAGATAGATTTTTAAGTAGAGAATCTGGGAAACAAAGGTTTGTTCCCCTTTCTTCCTTTAGTGATTATTGTTTTTTTAGAGAGAGGGTGTGGGGATTAGGATAATTATTGCTTTGAATTAATTAATGAAATGTTTTGTTGTATATGTGCAGCACTTCATAAAGCCTACAAAATTTTTAATAAAATTCGAAGTGGTAAGATTTTTGTGAATGATCTGCTACTTATCCTTTGCACCTTGAGAATTTCTATAAGTGATTCAGAAATGCGACAGGCACTAAAGACTATTGATATTGATGGTAAGTTGTTATATTTTCAGTATTAGTTTAAGAGCCTGCACTCATGAATATAAGTTATGTTTGTCAGTTTAATTATAAATTATTGGAAAGCTAAGCTTTAAAATATGTTATGAAACATCATTTTTTGGTCATATTTTATGTTACAGAACATTTTTATATTATAAAAACATTATTTATAATAATAATAATATTGAAAAATTGAGTTTCGGGTATACATAATTGGATTGATTATTGGATCGGATTATGACATTGTCATCATTGGTCCATGAATGACCTACTTTTATCTAGTTATGTAATTTTTTAAAAACATTTTTTAACTTTTAAATATTATGGGTACATAATAGTTGTATACATTTATCAGGTACCTGTGATGTTTTGATACAGGCATACAATGTGAATTAATCAAATTGGGGTAACTGGGGTATTCGTCACCTCAGACATTTATCATTTCTTTGTATTAGAAACATTCTGATTCCACACTTTTAGTTATTTTAAAGTATACTCTAACTTATTGTTGATTATAGTAACTTTGTTGTGCTAAACTATGTGATTTTAATAGTGTAATAAATACCTGACCTAACCACCCAAAATAAAAACCAGGACCTTGACCATAACATATCTAACCATAAAGCTTACTAAAAAAACCATTTTTCTTTTCCCCCCAACCTGAGGTAAGCATTATCTTGAATCTTATGCTCAGCATTCCCTGTTTTTCTTTTTAAATACTTTTGTTGTTATGGATATGTATTTTTGTAAAATAGTTAAAAATTTTTAGTTGTTTTAAAACTTAAGTAAAAGTTTATCATGATGTATATAATCTTTTGAGGCTTTTCTCACTTAATATATGAATAAGATTTATTCATATTGCTGTATGCTACTTTATTTGCTTAATCATTTGAATTATATTGTCTTGTGTGAATATATCACAGTTTATCCATCCACGGTCTCATTGATGAGCAAGCACTTGGTTTGTTTTTAGGTTTTAGCTACTGTGAACAGTTTTTGTCATGACATGGTTCCTGATATATGTGTACTAGAGTTTCTTTTGGTTATATACCCATAAGTGGAGTTACTGAACTGTGGGTGTATAAATTCATGTCATATTGTTTTCCAAAGAAGTCGCACCATTTTACACATTCATCAGCAATATACCTGAATAAAATATCCTATGATACTTTCTTTTCAATATTTGATATTTTTAGACTTTAAATTTTGCCAGTTACATGTGTATGAAATGATAGGGAACAGGGAAAATGTTTCTTAAAGAAGGTAAAAAAGTTTAAGTATAAAAGAAGCAGTTAATATTTTATGTATTTACATTGAAATTAAGAAATTTGTTTTCATCAAAAGACACCTTGAAGTGAAAAGACACATTACAGATTTGGAGATATCTGCAATTCATACAACTGACAAAGGATTAGTTTTAAGAATATTTAAAGAACTCATACAAATCAATAATAAACAATGGAATAGAAAAATGAGCAAGACATGTGGACAAATATTTTACATAAAAAACAACACATATAGCCAACAATCATATAAAAAGATGTTCAGCATCACAAGTTATCAAGGAAATGTAAATTAAGATCCTAACAATAACATTTAAACACCTAAAAAATGATTCTTTTGCAGTCAATGTCTGATACTTTAATCAAAGAAGTACATAATAGTGAACTCATTACATTTACAGACCATTCTGAGCTTGCTAAGGAGGAGAGACAAGTTTAGAATAAAAATGATATAGATAAGTTAAAGGAGTGGTCAGAAATTAAAATAAATTTAGATCACTTAAATGCAAAGTAGTACTCTAAGGTTGAAAGCATCAAGCTGCTCAAATATAAGATGTGGGTTTATTGTTATAAAAAAGTCATATGGAAAACCTAGAAATCAAAATTGACTACAAATAGAATGTTACTAAATAATCTAGTAGTGAATTGACAAGTTGCTGTTGTATGGGTGTATGTATCTATTTATCCATCCAAGTCACCCCACTATTTTTTGATCACCACAATAGCGATCATGAGTACCCTTTAAAAGTAGAGGCTGTGTTCTACCATTATATTGCATAGAGAAGGGTTTTGTTTGTTTTTGTTTTAGTGTATCTAGCTTACAGAAGTTTGTAAATTACAAAATGAAAATTGTGTCTTCACCCTAGTGTTTCTGCAGGATCCTTAGAGTTAAACACTGTTAATAATTTGGTGGATATTCTTTCTGGTTTTTTGTGTTTTATATATATATATATATATATATATATATATAACTTCTAAAATTTTTGCTATTATAAATAGTGCCCAAAGAACATCCTTTGTACATCACTTCTTTCACATTTGTGCTAATATTTCTATAGGATAGATTTTTAGAAATGAAAAAGCTAGCTCAAAGGATATGCACACATCACACTTTGTTAGGTACTACAAAACTGTCCCATTCCCCACAAAAAAGATTTCCCTAGTATGGCCCCACAACAATGACCATGAGTGCCCCTTAAAGTTAGAGGTTCTAAACTCTACTTATATTGGCTAAAAGTTATTTTTTTTTAGGAATTCTATGGAAGATTTTCAGGTGGTCCATGATATGGCCCCTCTCAGTGTGATTTTATTTTTTTTTAATTTTCTTATAACTTTGAAAATTGTCAATGGCTTATGTCAAATTATGTTATTAAGGTATTGTTTTACCCAAAAAAAGTGGAAGATGGAATATGTTACTAATTTTTTATAGGGTTAGGTAACATATACATCATTATGTCAACATTTTATACCTGATTGTTTACTTTGCTATTGATAGGAATTAAAAATGCACGCCATACCACTATGATTCTAGACATCTATCTTTTCTTATAGCAGCCTAGCTTAAAAGTACATCAAAGCCTATGAACCCTTTGGTTTTACTTTTATCTCTGAATATAATGGGATGCAGAAGCTAGAATGATGGTTTTAGGCATTTCTTGCCAATGGAAGCATGGAGCTGAATAAGTTTCTTCTCATCTGTCTTGCAAATACATCAGAAAGTGTGGATCTTTTTTTGTGAGAAGAAGCCTGATTTTTAGTGGAAAGAATTTTTTCCAGACTTGGATTTTCTTAAATATACACTCTGCCTTTAAACATCCTACAAGATTGCTTATCAAGCATGCATGTCATACATGATTGAGAAAACCTTGTTCATGTGCCCTGGAAATGTTGACTAACTTTGTGGCTTGGATAAGAGAAATAAAATTGAAGCCAAATTTCTACAAAATGCCTTAATCCACTCTAGGACTATTGAGATTATATATATATAAACATTTTAAAAGAGGTATTACAAAACATAGTAGTTCTGCTATTACCCTTCAGCATGTAATTAGGTGAAACTATTGATGTCTAATACTTCAGCCATTTTCTGCTTTTTAACTATTGTGCTGTTGTGAATGCAATGATATGACAAATAAGAATTGCTATATTGCAATGATTTTTTTCCCTTGGGTAAATACCCAATAGTGGGATTGCTGGATCAAATGGTAGGTCTACTTTTAGTTCTTTGAGGTATCTCCATTCTATTTTCCATAGAGGTTGTACTAGTTTGCAGTCCCACCAACAGTGTATGTGTCCCCTTCTCTCCACATCCACCCCAGCATCTGTTATTTTGGGACTTTTTGATAAAAGCCATTCCCACTGGAGTTAGGTGATATCTCATTGTGGTTTTGTTTTGCATTTCACTAATGATTAGAGGTTTTGAGTATTTTTCACGTTTATTGGCCATTAGTCTATCTCTTTTTGGAAAACTGTTCATGTCTTTTGTCCACTTTTTAATGAGGTTATTTAATTGCAAAGATGTGGAATCAATCCAAGTGTCCATCAATACATGAGTGGATTAATAAAATGTGGTATATGTATACTATGGAGTACTACTCAGTCATAAAAAAGTGAACTTATACCTTTTATAACAACTTGGATGGAACTGGAGATCATTCTTCTAAGTGAAGTATCACAAGAATGGAAAAACAAATACCACATGTACTCACTATTAAATTGGAACTAATTGATCAACACTCATATGTACATATAGTAGTAAAACTCAGTGGAAACCAAGCAGATGTAAGGGGAGGGGAGAGATGGGTAAATTCACTCCTAATGGGTACAATACACAGTATCTTGTTGATGGGCACACATATAACTTAGGCAACTGCACAAAAGTAAATCATGTAAACAAAACGTTTGTACCCCTCTAATATTCTGAAATAAAAATTGCTATGTTGTGCTATTCCTCTTCAGCATAAAAGTAGTTTAAATGACTGATGTCTCTTATGCAGCCTAATTCTTGCAAACTGATGCATCAAAGAGGAACTATACATTGTAAGCACTAATTAGAAATTTCATAGGTCTGTGACATCTTAAAAATGGGGAGGTTTTTTAAAGAGCAAAACTTTTATTAGGAAAAAACCTTGCTGTTTTGTGCAGCCATGGTACACCTGTAATGCTTGGTAAAACAGCTGTTTTTTTTCCTTGGATGAAGAAATACTTCACATGTCATGACTTACTGCTTTACACTGACATTAATTAATTACACCAAAAAGTCTGAAAGACATTTATAACTGTTAAAGTTGTCATCTTCATCTTCAATATAACTTTGAATGATTGCCTTTTAAAGAGGCATTTGTCAAAAAATGGGAACAAAATATGAAGGTTTCTGATATGCTGAATTTTTAAGTAGTTTCCATATTTTATAGTTTTATTGAGGCATATTTGACAATAATAAGCTACACATATTTAAAGGGTAAAACTTGATAATTTTTGACATCTATGCATCTGTGAAATCATAATTATCTTCAAGGTAGTGAATATATGCACCACCCCAAATTTCCTATACTTCCTTGTAAGCCTTCACTCCCTCTCCACACCCCAACTCCATCCACAGGCATTTATCTGTCACTATAGATTAGTTTGAATTTTCTAGAATTTTATACAAATTGAATCATGGAGTATGTATGGTTTTTCTTCTGGTCTTGTTTCTTTCACTCAGCTTAA